TTTCTTTATTCTTATCTTTATTTTTTTGTAATTTTTAATATATAATTTTATTTTATTTTTAAAAAATATATTTTTTATGATGGATTTACTAAAGTCCATCATTCATGATAAAAACAATTTATACATTCAAAATAATATTAATATATTCCTTTTGTGTCAAAAATAAAAATAATAGGATAAGAGTTTAATGAACACTAGACTTTTAAGTATAAACACTAATAAAATAAATTCATAATATTCAATCATTTTTTATAAGCTCCACAATTAATATAAAGTACTGATAACTAAATTTGAATGGAAAAGATATGAAATGAGAAAAAATATGGAATTATAATGCAATATTATATTTTTTTAGTCACTACAAAATATTATTAATGATAAGTTAAATAACAAGTGTAAACATATACCATGTGATAGGGTAGAGCATTTTTTATTCAGTCCAGTTTTGGGCTAAAATAAACAACCAAATCAAAAAAAAAATTGAACCAAATTAAAAAATAGTTTAAATTGATTAATTTTAATTTAGTTTGATTTTTTCCCTTTCCAAACTAGTTCAAAACCAAAAAACTTCACTTGCTTCCATTTTCCAAAAAATCAACTCTAATTTTTGTTTTGATCTCCTTGCCTAGAAGTGAAACCCAACAAAAAAATACACAAAACAAAAGGAAAGAAAATAAAAGAAGTAATTTGACAACCAAAAAACAAAGAGAAAATAAAAAATTATTGAAATGTAAAATCATCAAAAAATATGGAGGAGAAAAAGAAGACAAATTTGAGAGATAAGAGATAAAATAGGATGTGATACAAAAATTGTTGAAAAAGCATACTTTTTAGATCTTGGTTTCTCTGAAATCTCAAAAAAACCCTTTCTTGATAAGTAAAATTGGTGAAGAATATTTGGTGATAGTTGTGTTAGTGTTGATTAAGTAAACTAGTAGTAGGTTTTTTTTATTGTATAATTGTCTTCAATTTGTCAATAAAATCTATGTTCAATCATTCCAATTCTCTTATAGAATCTAATAATTAAGATTCATCAACAATTAATTTGAAGCTAAAGAGATTTATTTATTGCAAAAATGCACAAAATAATAGGTTTTTAAACGAAAAAAAATTTGTTATATGAGAAGAAAAAGACAGATTTAAGGGACGAGAGATAAAAAGCAAGGAGAAAGGATAATTAGAAATGCTGAAGTTTAGAGTTAGAAAAAAATATGTTATTTATACTTGTTTTAGAGGGAGGGGACGACTGTATGAATTGTAAAGTATCAATGAAATTAGTCTGTAGAATTAATGGATAGAAAAAAAATTTATTTTTAAATTAAAATAGTTTGATTTGATTTAAATTGTCTAGTTTAAGTATTATAAAATTAAAAAATGAACTAAACTAAATATTTTTTAAATATTTTAATTATTTTTTTCATGGTTGGGTTTTTATAATTAGTTTTTTTTTATTTTCTCAATTAAATTAAATTTTCAGTTTTTTGATGACCCCTCCTATATAGAGGTATACTGACGGCATTATGATGGAAAGAAGCTGGAAGATACTGTTACTGATGCGGCGAAGAATACTAATTTGACAAAGACTACTTATGGGGCACTTGTTGGGTATGCGACCAAAGTCCCACATTGATTAGAAATGAGGAGGATTAAGGGTATATAAGGATGGACAAATATCTTCATTGGTATGAGGCCTTTTGGGTATAATCCAATAGCAAATCCATGAGGGCTTAGGCTCAAAATGGACAATATCATACCAATGTGGAGATAGGTGGTGTCCATAATCCTTACAAGTGGTATCAGAGTCATGCCCCAGAGTTAGTCATGATGGATGAATCCTCGGAATGCCAAACAAAAGGTGGTGGGCCCTAATTAAATCACGATATGATCCATGGATCAGCTCTATTGGATAGGCGATATGCTCCGGATGCTTCATGGTCGTGTCCTGGTCTCAACACGGTGAAGAGGAGTTGACCTAGAAAAAGCAAAAACTCTCAAGTCAAGTAGTGCTCTCCAGATGCTTCATGAACATGTCCTGACCCCAACACGATGAAGTAGAGAGAAGTAGAGGATGAAAAATCCTGGTTGGCAGAGAGTGGATGGATAAATGATCGTTTGAGGAGAGGCTCGGTGGTCCTTTGTTCAAGAGAAGGATTGTTGAGTATGCGACCAAAGTCCCACATTGGTTAGAAATGAGGAGGATCAAGGGTATATAAGGATGGACAAATATCTCCATTGGTATGAGGCCTTTTTGGGTATAACCCAAGAACAAATCCATGAGGACTTAGACTCAAAATGGATAATATCATACCAATGTAGAGATAGGTGGTATCCATAATCCTTACAGCACTGACATGTCAACATGCGGTGACGTGTGTTGTATGCTGTCATAGCGGTGCTGAACTAGGAGGAGGCGTCGTCTTCAACTGTTGTGTTGCTATTGTTGTGACCGCCATTAACATATCTGAGGGAGGGACTGCTGATTGTTGCCAAAACAAAGCGGGAAAGGTTGCTGGTGTGTTGCAGCTATTGTCGGTGGCATGAGAAGATCTGAAGTGTTGGAGGCGTTACATAGAGAACTCTTGTGGTAAAGCCTGATCTTCTCTCTGATGGTTGCACGAGGGCAACGTCCTCTGCTATTGGTAGATGACCTTCGGTGGCTCTGATGGCGGCAGACCAGTCTGTATTGGCTGCAGATGGTGGATGTTTGGCTTAAAGAGTAATCTGTCTAGGGTTCAGAGATGCTGGATCCGTGTTAGAGGATGAACATTTTTCTTTTAGATCTCAACTGTAAACAAAAAGATTAAAAGAAATTTTTTTTCCAAAATCAATTGTTGATGATGATTCTATTCAATTTCAAAGTTTTGAAAACATGTTGAATTTTGAGGATTTTCACAAGCACTAAAAAATCAATTAACTATGAGAAGAATTAAAAACATCTGCTTTAAAATTGAAGTTGATGTGGGATAAAAAAGATTTTAAGCTAAAAAAAAGGTAAGAAAAAGCTAAAAAAAATAAAAGATGAAGAAGAGTCTGAAACTTCACAAATTTAATTTAAATTTTATCAAAAACTATCCAACATTTTTTTTAGAAAAAAAAACATACAAATTCTTAAACCATATCTAGAACAAACAATTGAATTTATAACCCCCTAAATTAAAGATCCAATAATAACTAAATTAAATCTAATAAATAAACTTAAATAAAATTCAATAACACAAGGATTAGATGATCATTCATCATCTAGAGCTAGATCTACAAACATGTAAAACCATAGCTCAGGTCTGATGTCCCCTTCATCAGGCCTCCATAAATGCTTTCCAAACCTTAACTTGTCCATATTACCAAGAAAATGTCCTGAAGGTCTCTCAAATCATACGATTATTTCATCACAAATTTGGGAAAAACAATCCTCCTCGCAAGCAAATACCATCAGCAAAACCTACTCGTTTGTTTCTGTTTTTCAGCAACATAACACACGGTTATGGGAAAGCATGAATAATGAGAGAAGAGGTACAAGGCTGCCACAGCAAGCCAGAAATCAGTATCAACTACTACCAGTAAACATTGACCACTTACAAAAACAGGATAGCAGCAAGCTGAAGTTTATTTCATTAACAGAAATCGAAACCACTTTCTTAGGCAAGCATTCAAGGTGATCTTGTAGATCATTCAATAAATTTTGTTCTATGCCAAGATGATATGTTCTGAACGCCTACTACATGATTATGTAGATCATTCGATAGCACATTCACTTATACTATGGTTGCGGCACTGCAGTACTTTTAAGAAGGCTCAACAATATAATTTTCCAATGGCTCCCAATTGAGGCAACACATTCTTTGCAACGATTTACGTTTGTAAAGCTGAACAAAAATCCATAACATGGGAGAAGTAATGTGCGGGTAGAATTTCGAACAAACTAGCTCGAAGTCTGACTCAATAAATCCAATTGCAAATAAGAAAATAGCAAACCACAAGAGCCCGCCACAACCTAGTCCATTATTTTGCAAGAGAAGTAATTAAAATTAAGATGCAATTGAGTAAGATTTAGAACGCCGTCTCATCCATTTGTAGCTGAAAAGAGGTGAAAATACCAGCAAAAGTATAATTATCAACCCACAATTAAGCAGTAATTCCATTGATTTCGACGTTGTTTAAACACAAGACACAAATCTCATAGATGAAATGGAGTTCTATAAAACCAAAGGGACTGGTATAGTAATTCACTGATACGCCGGGGCATAAAGAGGACGCCTGTATTCATCAAAATACTCATCCCGGTCGATAAACACAATTGCATAGAGAGCATAAATTATTCCAGGAACGTAGCCTAAAATAGTGAGTAACAAGCAAATCCAAAATTCCACCTGAAAAAAAAAAAACAGTATTGATAAGAACCCATTAAAGTTATCCATCAAATATATCCAAATTTTCAGATCTCTAAAAAAAAGAAGAATAAAAAGGGAGAGGCGTACACTGCAGCAGCCATGCCTGAAGCAAACACCGAGAGGAGGGAGCAAGATGGCGATGAAGATCTCGCAGCAGATCTCACAACGACTTGGCATTTTCTCTCGGCAATATTTGCGAAGGCTGATGATTCTAATCTAACAGGTTTGTTTGTAGTTGACTAAAGGGTTCCTAATGAGGAAGAAGACAAAGATGGGGGGCCTCATAATGTTGTGGGGGGTTATTTGGGAATTCAAGGAAACCTGTATCACCGTCAGAAAAAAAATATTATTCTTTTTCGTGGACACAAACTTTTTAAGCGTAATGTCGGTTTTGCCGTTGACCATTGGAATGCTGAGCTCTGCTTTGGAGGTCGTTTTTGGTTTTTTGCCTTAATTTCAACAGTTGAGAACAACCATCATATTTTTTCTCTCTTGTGTTGGGCGACGTGGCTGCGTGGCAACCATATTGTCTGTTGACCTTTTGACTTCTTCCAGGAGTTACATTTTTTTTTAGATTAACGGTGTGCGGGTCAAGCTTCGAGTTACATTTCTTAACTCCACACGTGAGATAGGCAACGTTGGAGAAGAAGAAGCCGCAGGGGGAGCTCCTTGCCATCGCGTCGGTCATGGTGAAGATTGTTACTGAAGGCGGCGCTTTTAGGATAGGGTGGAGGCTGTGATAAAAACAGGAAAGAAAAAGGTGGATCCTTTGAAACCCTCTTTCTTTTATGGTCTTTTTCGATTCCCTGTTAGATATGTTGCATGCTTCTTTTTGGTTGCCATCCCTTTTAATTTAATTGTTTGCTTCTGAGAATTAGGGTTAGGTTCTTGGTTTTCCTGGTATGTTCGTCCCCTTTGACAGCCACTATACTTTGCAGAGCTTTGGCTTCCTCTCACTTCCAATCTTTTATCTCCTCCTCTACATGGTGTTAGTGCTACTCGAGTTCATATTTCCCTTTTTTCAGATTTTCATGGAGGGCTAGATCATGGGCGACCTCTCCCCTGTTCGATGCCAACTCCCAATTCTTTCATTTTTTATGAAATCGTGTTTCTTTGCATGTTTAATTAGGCTCAAGATCGGCATAATTTGAATCATAACTGTTCGTTTCAACAACTTAAGCACATTAGTGATGGTTTTTCATGAATAATAAGGGGTCATTTTTATTTATTTATATAAATCATTCTTTTCTGAAGGGTTTTGAATGTTTTTTGTGATCAGTATTTGTGAAAGATATGGCTCCTCCGAAGGTTTACTTGTTTGATGAGATTGCCAAGCACAAGAAAACCGAGGATTGCTGGCCGAATATCTCTGGAAAGGTCAGATCTCTTTCTAAAAGTTTCAATTTTTTGTAGATTTGAGATCAAAAGGGGGCAATTCTGTTTGGTAGCTGAGAAAAATTAGTGTGAGATACAAGATGAGAACTTTGACTTGTTGTGGTTAGTTTTATTTACCCTTTTGGATTTTTTGTGTATTGAAAACTAAATATGTATCAGTGCTATCAATTTTATTGCATGATCAAGCTGTTAGAAGTTTATTTTTAATGCCTAGGACTGGAGAAGTTTGTTGAAATTAAAGGACTACCTTATCTAATGCCTTCTCTCGGTAAACAGTGAACCAGTAATATCAATACTGCATAAACTTGCTAGAAAACATGCCTAGGTTTATGGCAGTTCACTTATTATTCTCATGTCCATTGTCTGCACTAAATCAGACTAGCTCCATTACAAAATCAAATCCCAGCAGCATGTTCTCAAAAGTAATTTTTAGATGTTTTTCTAAGTGAAAACTGAACAACACCATGCATTTAAAAATGAGCCTTTTTGTTAGCATCGCAGTGCAGTCCATTGGTCATCATTCATTTTTCTTGCATCTAGTCTTGTAACAATGCATGTAAAAATAAGCTCCTTCCACTCCTTTTCATCTTATATTTCCAGTTATTATAAACAACATTTTAGAACTCTTTTTTGCTGCTTCAACTCATCTGTGAATTGCTTGGCTGTTTAAAAATTAGGTTGCCCCCCCCCCCCCCCCCCTGCTTTC